GATGTACCACGGCCTCACAGAAGACCAGCGAAAAGTGGAAGTATTATACTTTCGCGTTTCGTCTGATGAGTGAGGTACTTGGGAGCCGAAGCTTGTAAATTTTGGCACCGCATCCTTCGCATCATTTGTCCGGGGATAATCACTTAACATCAGGCGAACAGACTGCTCGTTTAACATCTTATGAAATAAAACAAAATAGCTGAAGTTACCTGATATATCGATCCCCATTACCGGAAAAATATTGTGCAATGAACATAGTGTCTTTTCAGTGTCTGGACGTTTATATAAATGTATCATATGTATTTATTCACAAAAGAGAAGAATGTTTTAGCATTGAAAAATAATAATTTGTATATAACCGTAAAAATGTGCTTATTAATTTATTAATTTTACAATTCAGTACATACATGCATGTGATATAAAATATAGTACCTGGAGGACCGAGCTTTGCTCGGTTTTTTTTTTTGTTGGTAAATCGTGTATTTTGGAAATTACATTTAGATACAAATGTCTGAGTAATGAAACATGCATAATATTTTTCGATCTTACCGACGTAATAATAAGAAAATATGAACTGGTGGTTTTTAACAAAAGAAAGAACTTTATAAAAAAGGGAAAAAAGAACAAAATTATCTGGATGGACAAAAAATAAAGAAGCAATGATCTGGAATCGAAAAAAAGTATGTAAATGATCGTGACACGAACCACGGCCTTCTGTTTCGGGGCCGCCCGATTACCGACTGAGCTATTATAACATTTTTTTTTCGGCGAAATTTATAATAAGATACATATAAAATATCTTCGCATATTTTATATCTTTCTATCAATCAGAAACTCTCACTGATATGATATTGGATAGAAGTGCTCGTGCCGAGGGCATGTCGGTTATCAATATGTCACGAACGTGCAAGCAATGGCCTTAAGGGGGCGATTTACTTGATAGTAGACGATTTTAAGGGCTGCAACTGATACTAATCGGGAGGCTGCCAAGTCTGAACAAAAAGTCTGAAAGATCGGCATCATTCGTGAAGCTATGAACTAGCGGTTAGACAAGTATAATTTTTTAACAAAAAAAACTGACTTGTATCAGAAAATTGAAGAAGTTGTTAATATAACAATCAATGTTTGACCTCGATTTCTCTGGGATTCCATCGTTAGATCCGGGTTTCCTTACCATGGTACCAAGCTCTTGGGATATCACCTTTCCGATAAAAAAGAATCATCAAAATCGGCACATAAACGAAGAAGTTATCCGCGAACACACATAAAAAAAATAGAAATATATACGGTCGAATTGAGAAACCTCCTCCTTTTTTGTTATGTTATGATTTTCTTTTTCCGACTGACACAATCACCTGTTCGGGTTGGCTCCGTTTAAGTAATTAAATATCTCGTGTGACTGTCAATTAACTGCTATTGTTTCTAATGTAAAACGTAGAAGACGTAGAAGTTGCTCAGATGATGGTTTCATATAATGGAAGTGATAAGTTTCCAATAAGTGTTGCCCAATCTGCAGTTTCATTACTAGCCAGCGACTGGGTACTTCAAATCTCCCTAGCCTTGATATACTACATATAGTAGTAGTATAGTATAGTAACAGCCTATACATGTCCCACTGCTGGGCAAAGGCCTCCTCTAAACAGAGGGTATACTACATACTCGCACACATTGCCTTATCTAGCTGACAGAGCATATTGATCCCTCCCCAATCCCTTACATCACTTTCTGACCGATTAGAATGTGATTGTCGACAAGAAGAGAAGAGGGAACGGCGTTAGCTTAAATTTAAACATCCAATTAAAAGGACGCGTAATAAGACGTTTGAAAATAGGGGTCTTGTTACTTCCTAGCTAATATTGTAAAGGCGAAAGTTTGTATGTATGGTCATTTTTCATGTCATACAACAGGTCATGGACAAACATCCATTTGTTACTCTTTCACGCAAATACTACTGAATGGATTTTAATGAAACTTTACAATAACTTTACAATAATAATATGAGCCGTGATAGCTCAGTGTCCGGGCGCTCGCCTTTAATTCAATATACTCGAGCAACCTGAGTTCGATCCCCGGTGCCGGCACCAATGAAGTTTTTAACTTTAAGTGCTGACTTATCACGTGCTCCGCGGTGAAGGAAAACATCGTGAGGAAACCTGCATATTTTCGAAATAATAAAAAAAAAATGTATTTCGAAGATATGTGAAGTCCGCCAATCCGCAGTGGGGCCGCGTGGTGGACTATGCCCTGATACCCTCTGTACAGAGGAGGCCTTTGCCCAACAGTGGAACATGTATAGGCTGTTACTTTACTTTTTACAATTATATAGCTTATACATCAGAATAAGACATAGGCTATAATTTATATACAATTTTTTGTGTATATCTGTCTTTCTGCCTGAATGCCTTCAGCCTATTCTACGCAAACGTAGTCGCGGGCAGTAGCTAGTTATATACAGCGTGTGGTTACCATCGCGACAATAAATGAACACACGTCTAGCGCTACTTGCCAATAATCATAAAAAAATATTAACGTTAAACAAAATGCACAATTTTAAAAAAATATTTTTCAAACAAACTAATTAAGTAAAAAAGAAACAAAATTTGTAACATCCTATACAACTCGCGCCAAAGCGTCGCATTACAGGCCTCTCCTTCTAACAGTATGTTTTGTCTCTTTTAAATTCATTCAACCCATTCATATGCTTTGTGACCTTTACAAATGAACTTTACGTTACGCTTTTATAGGTAAGGCTGTTCGAAAATTCTTTGTTTTAAAAAATTTAATAACTCTGTAAATATTGATGTTTAAAGAATTTAAATGTTTAATACAACTTTAAAAAGCTATCCCCTATATGCGTGTTCATTTATTGTCGCGATGGTAACGACACGCTGTATATACTCATGCCGAAATGTTTCACGTCAACGATGTTGTATATTAGAAGATAGTACATAAAGATATGTAGAAGTAAGTTTAAACTGAGTAAAAACTAGACAACTTAACATAGAACATTTCATAAAGGATAGATCTTCACATGAAATAAGCATGCCTTAAGTTCAGGCGTAGACTTTTCCTCCATAAGATCTATCAAAACGTTGGCGCTTTTTACCTATTTATAACCGGGATATATTCTTGCCCGTTTGGTGAGAATTTCAGCTGATCATCGCTTAAAACTTCAAAGCAATATCAGGAAAGGCGAGCCTAGTTCGCGCGACGCGCAGCACTCTTATCAGATTACCCGATAAAGTGGTGATTGTCACAAAGATAGAATATGTAGGCACGTACGATTGTGGCGCCGAACAAATTCAAGTTACTGCATCAGGTGCTTCTTATGTAGGGAGTATTAGTTTTATACTATAACACGCCGGAATGCCATTCCTTGCAACGTACTAAGAAGCTAACGGTTGTGAATTAGAAATTAGCTACTCATTTATTCCTTCTTTTTAATTACTTTCTTTTATTGAATAATCTCGCAATTTTCCGAATTTTACACATTTAAATTTACTGACTGAGTTCCTTATTATGTTAGGTAAGTTTTGTACACGTCCTGGCAGTGGGAACGTTATGACGCAAGCCATTGCACTGTAATGACAGAAGTTAGCATTAATTATGCGAAATGCGTAGTATTTAAAATAAACAGATGGACAGTGAAACTTTTAAATTCATTACAGAATGTTACGCAAATTCATTAAGTAATTACTTTGGCCCGTTCCGTAGTTATAACTTCCACTAGAACGCCTTTGCCCCGTGCTTTTGGGGGAAGTTGCCGAAGGTGATTCCCCAAGTACTACCTGGTGTCCAGAAACATGATAATCGCAGTTACTCTGCTAAATTTCAAGAGTCTCTACTAAGTTTATGTTACTCATTAGACGAAACGCTAAATAATTGCGACTTCTTTAGTTCATACATTTTCCCTTTACCATATTTTTGGTATGACTTAATCATGAGTCGTTTATCAAATAAAAATTAATTTAATGTTGCTAACACTATGTAATGTACCCTCAAATCCTCTCGAGATGTACGTCTGAAAACATCTGTTGAAAGCACTATCAGTTGATGAAGCTGTTATAATATGAACTTATAGATATTGAATTTTGGAAAGTAGACGATGCTTTGCTCACTTCAGTCCGAATATACCAATTAGGACAAACTTGAGGTATGTTTTGAATGCATGGTAGACATAAAGTAATAAAATGTAGCATTTAATGTTGGTTTTTTTTTAATCCAAAGCGGGGATTACGTGAACGGAAGTGTCTCTTATGCAGGGAGCGGTGTCCATGTCGTAATTGCATCAACTATAAGTCTCTGTCAACATTCTAATCTCATATCTGAGCATCAGAGCGGTCACTCCGCGTATGTGATGGCATACGTGTTATATCCATTCTACACAGATAATACAGTTGTGTTTTTATATGCAATATATATAAAATGGTCATACTTGTATTTTTATGAATATGATATAGAAGAAAATGTATAAAATGTCGATAATATCAAAATAAACGACAACAATGATAAACAATTCATAAAATATGAATAAGTTCTAAATTTTCCGGAAATTATTAACTATTTGGTTGTTAAAATTCATAAGGTTTAAATACAAACTTAGTAAATATTAACCTTCAAGTAAATTGATTGTATTCAAATTATGATTGCTATTACCAACACTAAACAAGGACTAATAAGGATAGAGTAGTGTGTTGCCACTGCACTTTTTTTGCGACCTTTTACCAATTAAAATATATATATCAATTTCGCAATACACACCACGTTTGTATATATCGCAAAATCTTATTTTTAATACTGCAAGCTTTACCTGCAGCTTAAAATCGTGAAAACATTGAAATTTGACTATCCAATGGCAGTCTGATTGAAAGACGGACACCACTACGCCTTAAAATTGAGGTTACACTGAACGAAATTTCAGAACAATGAACGATAGTGCGCCATTACAAACAGATCACATTCGCGTTTCTACACCAAATATGTTCCGTTTTGCGCATTCAACGTACGTATGATAAAAGACTCACGTATTTCGTCGAGCTGATCCGGCGCACTCTCTGCGTTGGTTTCTTGTGCGCCCTCCTGTATTTGTTCTCCTCGCCGACCGCTGATGCTTTATCCTCCAGCACGAACCAGTCGGTGACGGAGCCCCGTCTGGCGTACCTCCCACCGCACTCGCGTTTCACACTCAACAGCTTCGTTAGCTCGGCTTTAAAGTCCTCACTTATCCTATCCACTTTGTTCACTTGCACCACCTTCGGGGAGGGGAGATTGCTCCATGACGCACTCTTCCTCTTCTCCTCGACACTCAACTCGCTGTTCGTCTTCGTGTATGGCTCGCAGTCACTCAAATAGTTCTCGTTGAACATGTCCACTGTCTTCTCGAACTCCTCAAGTAAATCCTGCATCGACTTACCTTTCATGATGTTCATCACTATGCCGCTGGACGCTGAGGTCGCATTCGATATGCTGGAGTTGTTGTTAGAAGATTCGGACGGGAACTCTTTAATGCTCTTTAGGAACACAGTGTTGTCGTTGTCGTAATATACATTCGATATGTACTCCAGGCTTTCGGTGGAAGACCATGGATCTGCCATCGTATCGCTGCTGCCGAAGGCGTAAGACTGATTCTTTACCAGCGCGTTCCTCTCCATTCCTTCCTCCGCCCTCTCTTCTATCGCCCGCGGTAGAAACTCGAAGCTCTTGCTCCTCTTGTAAACCGGCCTGTGCTGTTTGCTTCTCTTCTCTAACAGCTCTTTGTTCCTGAAGAACCAGAAACGCTTGCTCGATTTGTACTCGTGCTCCTTCGCTTTGGGCGATTGGTTCGCCGCCGGCGGTTCCTCTTCCTCGATGCCCCCCCATTTGTGCCTGTCCCTATCCTTCGCGAAGATGTTGATGCGGGAGAACTTGTCGCGGAAGCTGAAGGTCTTCTTCAGCGGCGACGCGGCCTCGTCCTCTGAGGAGGTGGGCAGCTCGGACTTGGGGGAGTCGGGCACAACCGGTAAGCAAGCGGAGAGGAGGCCCGCGGGTTTCGCGACCACCACATCTGTGGAATGCCCACGCACCGGCACTAGAGGGGGCGGTTTCAGCTTGTCAGGCAGATCGCCTAGCAGGCCTCTCTCTATCAGCTGAAGACTCTCCGCGTTCAGCTTCCTCAGAACGTTGGTCCTTTTGACAATGAACTTCTTATCGGTGTCCATCGCGCTGCGTGCACACGGGCCCGCGTTGAAGTCTCGACTGCCGTATCGCCCGCCCGTATCTGCCTGATAACAGCCGATAACGGACGCCCGCGCCGCCATAGTCGAACGCCGCAATATTTACCAACAGCGGTGGCCGCGCGAATCAACTCGCCTCAAACTTCCGCGCCGAATCGAACGTTCGAGAATGATGCTCAGACTGATTCTTAGTTGCTTTAAAACATGTAGATAAAGTACGAAAAGATTGTCGCCGCTGTGGGAATCGAACCCACGTCTTCGGCATTCGCGGCCTGACGCTCTAGCCACTGAGCTAAACGGCTGATAGCCACAACGACGAAAATTTTAACGCCTTCTTTCTACATTGTTATTTAGCTGTCCTTAGTTGCTTTACTTTCCGGCTACTTTATTGTTTCCTAGTGCGACATTGGCAGTGACGATTTATTGTTGAGGGAATATTTAATTATTTATTTGTAGCAAGCTTTAAAAAGTCTGGGCTATTCTTTTGTTTTCATTATTTAATTCTTTTCAAGATATCCAAAAGAAAGTGGAGGCCTCTCGATCAAAAATAGCGGATTACAGTAGGATGTCATAATATAAAATAATATAAAATAGTCTTAAAAGTATATATAAAATAATCTTAAAAGGTAGGTAAAATAAGGCGGTCTTATCGCTAAAGAGCGATCTATTCCAGACACAAGGAAAATGAAACTAATGAATACTGCGAGGCGCTGGGTTTAATAAACCTACTTTCTAATACAAAAATAAACTAAAATATAATAAACATACATAAATATAAACACATGTATTTAACATGAGAGAAGAATTAAATCGGAATAATTATTCTTCGGTATTGTTAAATGCCTAAATGCCTAAAGTCTTTGTTCATATCACATTGATTTGTGTGCAGGGTACGATGGTAGTTTTTTGTTGACGTTCAATAAGAGCTTAAGTTAAGCCTATATTGAATAAAGATACTTTGATGAAAAGTCCATTAGGGCCTCAGGTTAAGACTAATTAAATTCAGTGAAATGAAAATAGCCTTGTCAACTGTCTGCCCTGTTAAGTTTAAGGGTATTAGTGGAAATTTTGTATTCTTCAGTATATGCATTGACTGTTTGTTAATTTTATTTTCACACGATAGGCCTTGTGGACAAGGTCGATAGATTTGAGATCCGGAAATATCCAGACGTTGGTTGCAATTTATAGATAAGGACAACGTGAAAACAATCGAGTGGCCGCAATTCGCTTAAATTGAAGTTTTACGTGACCGGCTATCGTGTCGTCGATACTTCCGTACAACCTTCCTCTAGTCCTTACTAATATTATAAAGGCGAAAGTATGTATGAACGGATGTTTGTCACTCTTTCACGCAAATACTACTGAATGGATTTTAATGAAACTTTACAATAACATAGCTTGTACATCAGAATAACACATTTATATACATATTTTATGTATATCTGTCATTCTGTCTGAATGTTACGCCTTAAGCCTATTCTACGCAGACGTAGTCGCGGGAAACAGCTAGTTTTAGAATAAACTAGACATAGAAAGCGCGAAAAGGGAACCAATACGAGTATACTTTCCGATGCTATTAAACATCTATAACTTCATTCACAACTTGCAAATTGCATTAGTATTAATCAGCATTAAAAATCTACTAAGTAAATCTACTATTTTATGGCCTGCACAGAGTTTGAACTCAAATTTCATTAGTGTATAGAATTAGATAAGAAACTATCTTGTGTCTTGTATTATCTGATGTTTTTGCTTTAGTCCCGAGACTATTAAAGCTTCATCTGACGCAGAACCGGTGGGCTAGCCAGAACCCACGGGTTTGGAGTAGATACGAAACTATAAACTAAGTCGGTCAATCTAAGTGAGGTTGTTGAATAAAATAGTGTTTGATCGATACGTTTGATCGACTATCGTTGGGAACATATTGCGCCACACGTAACAGCCCAATTATACTCATACACTACGTTGATAAACACAGTTTATACATTCCTGTTATCTTAAATCTTTCTTTTATGTCACAATGGTTTTCTGTTACAAAATAATAACGGATTCGCCACGTCGTTCGACGTCAGTATCGCCTAGAAAGAAATCAGCGTCCCCGAAATGTCATTACCGTAAGTGTTTTTGTAATTAAATTATTGGCTGTACCGCGCCTTTATTCGTCTAGTAATAACAGTAAAATATCATCTTAACATTATTAGTCATAGTAATTGCCTGTCTAATAATGAAAATGCTTATGTCTGTCTATCTATATGTACCTAAAGATATCTATTAATTCGTATCTGCTTATAAACATTTTGAATTATTAGGACAATATCATAATATTTAATACATATTATTATTTAAAATATACTTGCCATTAAAATCTTTTGTTTGTAGTTGTGTAGAACAAATCTATGTGAATTAGTGATTTTTTAAAAAGCGCCTGTGAAAATAAAATTTCTAATTCATCGCAGATAAATTATCTTCTACAAAGGCGCATTCTCTAGGCGCTTGGTCATTGTATTTTTATTTTAATAAATTTCTAGTTCCCATTCAAACGACAATTCTAAAATAGAGGACTTATTCTGTTAACATCAACATTTAAAAATCACCTACGAATAAATAATATAATTAAAAAACTATATTAAAATAAAATAAGATTTTACTTTAATATAGTTTTTCTCTATAAAATCCTTTCAAGGTGCAGGGAGAAATTTTGGTAATTAATGTCACACGCCTTTAGAATTTACTGACAATTTATTCAGATTTATCGACATTAATCAACATACGCGGCTCAAGTAAAAAAAAAAAAGTGTTGTCCGCTCTTTCTTATACCTATATAGTACAAAAAGACCAAAAAAATCTATACATCCAGTAAAATTGCAAAAGTCCAAACCGTATAATTATGCAACAGTAGTAAAAATGCCTAATCAACCATGTTTTTTTGGTTTTTTTTTCTTTCAAGTGCAGAGATTAGCATTATAAAAAAACTTTAAATTTCTAAAAAAGCAATGGCGACATCTCCTGTTCGAGTTATCGTTGTAAAACGATATTCAAAATTGTTTATATGCTGGAAAGGATATAACAATAGATGCGCCAAGCATTGCTTCAAAAGCTATAAAAAAACAATGTAGGTAAAAGACGTTATGATTTTCGTCGGTGTGCCAATCAGCCGTTTAGCTTAGTGGCTAAAGCGTCAGGCCGCGATTGCTGAAGACGTGGGTTCGATTCCCACAGCGGCGACAATCTTTTCGTACTTTTTCTACAAGTTCTAGCAACTATGTCGTCCCTGTAACCGCTTACACCCTCGTGATAATAAGACTGAACGGCCTAATTTAACTGTCACTTTAAACCTTTCTGGGCCCGTTTCCAGTCCCCAACTCTATGTCCGAGCTGATCGCGTCCGTGGACTATGAGGGGTGCGGCGCTGACATCGACTCCATTCCCGAGCGCGACTGGCGGCTGCTGGCAGCCCTGGCGCGCAAGAGAGAGGAGAACGAGGAGCGGGAGAGGCTCGCGGAGCAGTTCCGAACGCTGTGGCAGAAGGAGAAGCAGCAAAGGGAGATGGTGACGCTTCGTTTTGTCAGATCGAAGAGACCACTTCGGTTAATAATCTTGCGAAGCATATAAGAATCCACTGCAACACACAAGCGCCCCAATAAACGTCAGGATTGTTTTCGAAATCTAATTCTGAAACTGACATCAAGCCCAAACACTGAATGAAGTTATTACTCGTATTTCTAAATGAAGGCCCCTTAACTACTACCGCCTGTGGAAATAGCACCGGTAGTTAAGGATACTCCAAGCGGTGATTCTTGTTTACGCCACCTATCTATCGAAATTCAAAAGTATAAATAATTCCTTTTACTTCACAATTTAATCTAGGAAGATTAATTTTATTTACGAACTCATTATGATAAAAAAAAAACACAATACAAAGACAGTTCTTTAAAAAGTACTAGCTACTCTACTATCTAGTGTTTAAGACTAAAAACTACGATCACAAGTACTCTAGATACACTATTGTGAATAAGGAGAATCACTTATGTTAGCAATTATGCAATATCGTACTCCCAATTCTATTTTTGTTAAATTTCACGCGGCTAAAGTAAAGGATAAAAGCCAGCTTATTAATATTTTACAGTAATAGTCGATAGTAAGGCTTATAACATGTCCAGATCGAAGCCGAGACCTCGGAGGAGTTCAAGCGCTACGTTCACGAAAAGCGAGCACGGGAGCGCTCGTGCCTGGAGTGGAGGCAGTTCCAGAGGTCCCTGGAGCAACAGCTGAAGAGGGGCGAGCTGATGGACCTCATCGAGTGCAAGGAGCAGCGGTGCGCCGCCCTTCTGGCTCTGAACGACGACAGAAAGGTCAAGTTATATAATAACAGTGACAAAAATACACCTGTTTATCAAAGGAGTAGGCAATGCTGCCAGGTTTTGCACTTTCAATATTTTCTTGCACATCAAAAATGCCTCCTTAAATTTTATTCTCAAAGTAATGTAGGATCGGTATCAGATGGTGAGGTCTGCTAAATGCCGACATTTTCACAACTTCTTACTAACTGCTTCTCAATCAGAGACATGGAAGTTTATTCACTCTCTTGGGTTTGCAAGTTGCAAAACACAGCCTAGTATTGATATGCCCTTATTAAGCGAACTTAATGCTCACTTTTCCTCATCTTCTGTATTGCCATCTCACATTAAAGCTAGTACTCTTCTTGAAATATCTTCCATGGCCTCAACTCACTCTGATACATTCTCTTTTTCTTCGGTCGCTGAGGATGAGGTATGTAAGGTTTTACATCAGATTAAATCTAAGGCAGTAGGTTGTGATGAAATAGGCCGTGTCATGATATTTCATGTTTTGGACCAGATTGTACCCATTCTCACATTTATTATTAATCATTCGATGCTATCTGGGGAATTTCCTATCTGTTGGCGTAATGCTTTTGTTATCCCGCTTCCCAAAATTAGTAAACCCAGTTCACCGAATCATTTCCGGCCTATTTCTATCTTGCCGTTTTTATCAAAAACTTTAGAGACTATTGTTTTTAAACAAGTTTGCACCTTCGCTCATAAGAACAACCTGTTGAATAAGTTCCAATCGGGGTTTCGGCCGGGTCATAGTACCACTACTGCTCTATTAGCGGTTACCGAGGATGTGCGACATGGTATGGGGGATGGCAGGGTGACAGTATTAGTACTGATCGACTTCTCCAACGCTTTTAATGCTGTTGACCATGACATCCTTCTTGCCATCTTATCTCACCTAGGATTTTCATCCTCAGCACTGAATTGGTTCTGTTCTTATCTTCGTGGTCGCCGGCAGGCGGTTCGTGTCGATGGAAAGTTCTCCAATTGGTGCGATCTGGCCACCGGTGTTCCGCAAGGCGGAATACTGTCACCAATACTTTTTTAATTTTTCATAAATTCTGTTACATGTAATCTTCGCTCCTCTTACCATCTGTATGCCGACGACCTGCAGCTGTATGCCCAGGCCGAAGCAGCGCATTTACATGATGCTGTTACCCAGATTAACTCTGATCTCGAGCATATTTTCAACTGGTCAAAAAAGTACGGTGTTACTGTAAATCCCACTAAATGCCAAGCCATAATTCTAGGGAGCGAACGCCAGTTATGCAAAATAGATTATAATTGCGTGATGCCCATGATGTACAATGATCAAGTCATTACCTTTTCACCAAAAGTCAAGAATCTTGGGTTAACTATTGATTCCTCGCTCAGCTGGCGAGCGCAAGTTAATGAAGTCAGCAGTAAAGTTTATTCCAACTTGAGACAATTATATAGATTTAAAAATTTCTTACCACCTTATACTAAAAAACTTTTAGTTCAATCACTTATACTTCCACATCTCGATTACGCTGATGTGTGTTACTCAGATGCAAACATGGAGGTTCTTAGCAAATTGGATCGCCTCCTTAATCAATGTATTCGCTTCATTTATGGTGTTCGAAAGTTTGACCATATTTTCATCATATCGCTCTCAACTAAACTGGTTGAATATTTCCCAACGGAGGAATCTTCGGATCCTCTGTACGCTTTATAGTATCATTAACGATCCTTTTGCCCCAGCGTATCTGAAGTCTAAATTTCAGTACCTGGGTACCTCTCATTGCTGCAATCTTCGATCTGCTGGTAATCTTACGTTGCTTATTCCTTCTCACAGTACCGGTTTTCTCTCTAAATCCTTCGCTGTTACAGCTGCTCGACTCTGGAACGCCCTTCCTCGTGAAATTCGAAAATCACCGAATAAATTTATTTTTAAAGCTAAAGTGAAGGAATATTTTAATTCGTCGTCTTATGATCAGTAGTATGGATAACGTTTGATAGATATTTCCGTTTTATGTATATATATATATATATATATATATATATATATACCTATTATAATATTTATTGTTGTAAGTTAATAATTGTTATCATAATGTATGTATACATATTATATAATCCTTATATAGCTAGCACCTACACTTCTCTTTCACTAACTTTCCGGTTGGCTGGTAGAAAATGCCTTATGGCATTAAGCCCGCCGTTTGTACCAGTTAGTACAAAAAAGTGTGTAAATAAATAAATAATGTACGTCGATGCGAGTGTTTCCTTCCGAAATAAAATACTTAACTGCAGTTAAATATTGGACGGAAAGAGGCGATTGGTTGTGGTCTATTCTAAAGCGATCTAATTCCGATATATTGTAAGGATCTGTTTGACTGTAATGTAATTTTTGTGGCAACAAAGAGGTTCTTATCTTACCTATATTCATCTTGTTAATGCCACCGATTAAGATCGGTCCACGCGTTACGTAGAGCAAGATCGGACAGCACAAAAAGAATTTTAGCAGCGCTCCGATGAGCGTATGGAACTAAATATTTTTTGTAATGTGAGAAAGTGGCAAACGAGCTGCAGGCTCACCTGATGTTAAGCGGTAACCGCCTGCCCATGGACATTTGCAACACCCGTAGGGTTGCAGAAGCGTTGCCACCGCAGAAGTGCAACACTTCCACTTCACGCCGGTCTTCTGTGAGGTCGCGGTACTTACCCGGACGGACCTGCCCATTCGTGCAACAGCGAACACTGTTGCGTGGCCCTACCACCGACACAATCAGGAATGAAATTTAACTTTAAAGTAAGCACGTTACAGTAAAGTATTCGTATAGCTAGCCGCAAGATGTTCAACTGTATATGGTTTAGGTACGAGACTGGTAGCTCCTCCAAGACACGGAGTCTTCCGTATTTTTACTTGTCCAAATCCTAACAATGAACAATTTGAGATGCGAAACGAAAATACTAAGTGTGGTGCACCCACCCACAGCTTCCGCTATTGGTGGAATGGCCAGGCCCGTCCGGGGAAGTACCGAGGAAACAGAACACCGAAGTGAAGCAAGGTAGCCGGGAACCACTTTTGTTTATTAGCTTGCTAGCGACCCGCCCCGGCTTCGCACGGGTGCTATGTATTATACATATAAACCTCCCTCTTGAATCACTCTATCTAGTAAAAAAACCGCATCAAGATCCGTTGCGTAGTTTTAAAGATCTAAGCATACATATGGACAGACAGACAGCGGAACGACTTTGTTTTATACTATGTAGTGATGAAGTCCATCTGTGGTGGTAATCATATTACATCAACTGAACCGTCTGCTTGGTAACTTTTCAAGCGACTTCACAAAAGGAGGAGTTTTTCAATTCGACTGTATTTTTTTTATGTTTGTTACCTCACGACTTTCGCCAGAGTGGGCCGGTTTTGATGGTTCTTTTTTATTTGAAAGCTGGCGCTTCCCATGCGGTCCCATATTAATTTCATCGGTATTGGATCTTGGACTCCGGAGATACTAGGGAAAATCAATTGTAAAAACAAATACATTTTTTTTTGTAACGTAAAACAAAAACGACTTCAAATATCTCGCTCTGCATTCATTTCACAAATGATTTATCAAACAAAAAAAAAATCATCAAAATCCGTTCACTCGGCCGAAAGTTCCGAGGAACATGAAACATTAAAAAAAATACGGTCGAATTGTGAACCTCCTCCTCCTTTTTTGATGTCGGTATATGAATACAGAGCGAGATACTTGAAGTCGGTTTTTCACATAAAAAAATCTTTTCATATATGTCGGCGACAGCGATAGATTAGCGATACGAACGTCTTCGGCAGGAGCTTCTGGTGGAAGGTTCATGGCGTAGGTCTCAGGCAATTAAACCACAAAGATACAGTAGGACATATCTTGTATTCTATGAAGATAATGAATATAGTACAAAGTTCCAAAGTGAAACACCGGTCCCGTTTGGATGGACCGAACTGTATCGCGCTCACCAATCAACTCAGTTACTCCGTCAATACTGAGCTCAGACTCACCGCTCTCTCATATTTAAAATGTCACAGTTGCCCCCCTCCGAACGATTCCGATCACGTGACTCATTACGTCACGGTGTTCACTCCTATCCGTTACAACAATATCAAGCGAGTTACTAATTATTGTTAAATTATCGTAATCGACGACATATAGATGAACGACATGATGGGTAGGGCGATGGAGGGCGGTAGGCGCGCGCTCCTGGCGGCCGACAGGCGCACCAGGAAGATGTCGGCGGACGAGCGACGCCGCGGGATGCAGTTAGTGTACGCCAAGAGACGGGAGGACGACGCGTGCAAGCGACGAAGCGCGATGCTTAGAGACGCCGCCCAAGTAGGTCTATTTATTCTACTATGTTAATGCTCGTTGAATTTCTTATACAGCGTGTCGTTACCATCGCGAGAATAAATGAACACACGTCTAACGCTACTTGCCAATAATCATAAAAAAATATTAACGTTAAACAAAATCCATAATTAAAAAAAATATTTTTCAAAAAAACTAATTAAGTAAAAAAGAAACCAAATTTGTAACATCCGCCACAGCGTCGCATTACAGGCCTCTCCTTCTAACAGTATGTTTTGTCTCTTTTAAATTCATTCAACCCATTCATATGCTTTGTGACATTTACAAATGAACTTTATGTTACAGTTTTATACGTTAGGTGTTCTAAAATCCTTTGTTTTAGAAACTTTAATACCTCGGTAAATATTGATGTTTAAAGAATGTAAATTAAACATTTACTTTATAGCTCTTAGAACTGATAACCGATAGGGAAGAATTATTCTCGAGTGGCAGCCTTGTACTGGACATCACAGAATAAGAGCCCCCACTAGATGGAGTGACGATGTGTGCAAATGTACGTAAGTTGATGGATACAGGTGGCTCAGGATCGTGCTTCGTGGCAATCTATGGGGGCGGCCTATTATGCTGAAATGATTACGATGATGAATTTCAGTATTTCTTCAAATTAATTAACAGTTTATCATTGGCAACAATTAGTAATTCAGTTCATGACGATGAACTGAAAAAATACCTTTTATATCTATCCAACTTCTTACAGAAGCCATGATAGCTCACTGTTCGTAGGCTCGATTTTAATTCAATATACTCGAGCAACTTGAGTTCGATCCCCGGTGCCGGCACCAAAGAAATTGTTAATTTAAATGCTCCCTTATCACCTGCTCGACGTTGAAGGAAAACGTCGAGAGGAAACCTGCAAAATTAAATATAAAAAATAATAACACAAAAAAAAATTATTTCGAAGATACGCGAAGTCAGCCAATACGCAGGGGGTGCGCGTGGACTATGCCCTAATACTCTCTGTACATATACAGGATGTTACTTTACTCGCAACCTCTTTTAGCGTGCGGCGATCGGCAACGCTCTTAGCTCCTGGGAGTCGGCGCTGCTTCGCCAGGAGTTGGGGGCTGAGGAGGCGGCGCGAAGGGCGCAGCTGACGTCACGTGTCTCGTGCAAGCACGCGCGTGCCAGTAAATGGGCGAGCGAACGCGATATAAGGCTGCGACGCACTAGGCGTTTGGCGGCGCTCACCGCGCGGCTAAGAAACGCCGTGATTGGCGGACGCCAATAAGACCCCGAAAAAAGCGACTGTCCCTAAGTGCACTATCTAATCTGGAAATGGCTACTTTAACGGGATAATTTGACGTTTTTTTTTGTAATATATTTCAGTAGGTACATTGTTGTGGATTTAAGGCCCATTTACACGATGCAATTTTCTTGTACATACAAGAGCAATAATTGAAGACCATTGACCATTTGTAGTTTAGACCATGCAACTCATTTATTGCTTCAATTTAATTGTATACAACAGGCAAGAAACTGGCACCATGTAAATGGGCCTTTAGTTCGTAATTACCTGGCAATACTATATAGACTTTACTTGGGCGCGCGTCTTGTGGATGATAGTCATGTCATGTCCTGGGCTTATCTCTCGTGATTTATAAAATGTGAAAAACAATAAAGAGAAATAAGTCAATTAAGAAGATTTAAAACAAAACATACATAGGCTCTATATTCCTGAGAACAATTTAGTTTAAAAAAAATTCAAAATGGAGCCTATATATTACTGTAAAAATCGTCAATTTCACATTCGATAGTGTATTTATGTCAAGTACAGTCGACAAATGCATTTGCCTATTTCACTAATGTGTTCTCATGAAGCTTACCAACTCTCTATAGACGGAGCATTGAATCTTATTCGCTTATTTTTGTGGTTAAAATAAAACTACCTTTGTCTCTTTTTATTTTTTTATTAGGCTTACCTAAATATTATCTAAATACATATTATATTATAATTATATTGACATTTGACTCGTCCTTACGAATGAGTACAGTATTCAATTTACATTTGAACGATATAACAATTAAATAGTATGCTTTAAAGTCCTGAAATATAATTATAAAACTATCCTTAAGATTCAGGTATTGCTCACACAAATTACAAAGTTCGCAGACTTATAATTTGTGTGACCGCCAATACTGTTTGGGTTGCACAGTTTATGCAACATGCAAGCGCTTGGGTCTAGGATACAAAAAAAATCTGCAATGACAATTTGAACACGCGGCGAATACGCCATGACGATACGAGGTTTTTAATGTAAATATATACAAGTAGTATTGTGACTAACCATATATCCTTAATTACATAGTAATTTCTAGATATCTCATACATGTCAGTATGTATCTTTAATTCGTCAAGCGTTTTAAGGGTTCCGTACCCAAAAGGTACCTATTATCAAAAAAAAAAATACCGTATACAAAGGTATTTCGATTTACCATTTGCGCAGAACCCAAAAAGTTCTTTGCGCCAAAATAATTTTCACTTACCGCGTACCTATTGGAACCCAAAATCCTCGACACAAAAGCGTCAAAAACAACAGCGGCCAAGAAACCTGCAAGTTGTCGCACTAGTGACACAAGTGTACACGGCATGCGAACTAACCGTCTGTATCCGCGAGATCCTTAGTGGCGGCAGCCAGCCTGGCCCTAGCTTTACTGTACTGCCTGAGCGCAACCTCGGCCCCCTGCAGGAGGTCCGAAGATGAACTGCTCGCAGCCGGCTTCGGACGAGCACTACCAGCCTGCGGTTGCCTTACCGTACTCCATCTAACGTCGACGCTGCCCGTCTCCGTGAACGTGAAGTGTGCGCCCTGTGGAGGTAAATATGGGACCCTCGATTTTTATGCTTCAGGATTTAAAGGATAAAGTGAAGTTTAGTGTGTCCCTGTGGAGGGGGCTTTATTCAGCAGTGGATTCGACACTGCTGAAATGACGATGATGATGTAACGGTGGTAGGGCCACGCAGCAGCCTCAGCTGTTGCACGAATGGGCAGGCCCGTCCGGGTAAGAACCACGACCTCACAGAAGACCAGCGTAAAGTGGAAGTATGACAAATACTTTCGCGTTTCGTCCGGTGAGTGAGGTAGCCGGAGCCCAATTCTCAAAAAGTTGTCAACGCATCTGTAAACCTCGGGTGTGGCAGATGTCCATGGGCGGCGGTATTCACTTAACATCAAGTAAACCGTCTGCTCGTTTGACAACTTTTCGCATTAAAAAAAATGTGTCTTCGTATGTATGAAGCCAATGATGCTACCAGAACCTTATATAGGCTCATTAGGAATCAGGCGCCGAGACAATTTGAGCTGCTTCATGTACAGTTTTAATCATGTCTTCTGTAGCCTCGTTGTCGTTTATTTTTTCGCTTTGAGGGTACCGTATTAAAATTATGCCCTGTATTAAATGTATGATTTTCTGACTTAATTCAATTAAATCTTTCAATTCAATCTGCATGATCATTTTAGTTTCTAAAGTTTATAACAGTATCTTATGATGAACAATTAATCCATATAATGAATATATTTGAGGTAATACACTCGAAAATATCAGAATTAATGGGTGATGTAATAATGCTTTTTCCAATGGATAAGTAATAAGAAAATGTATTATACATGTAAATGTAATATGTCAAACATGGGATAATGTGGGCCTATGTTCCTATGCCTATAGCTAAGGCCTATGTTCAGCTGTGGACTCTAACAGGCTGAAATGATGATGATGATGATGTTAAACATGTACTGGAGAAATTGACCTGCAGTTGTGGCTTCATCAGAATCTCCAAGTCCTTTATCAAATGGCATCCACCCACGAAGAAGCGTCTGTTGTCGGCTTGCATTTTGTTCGTCTCTTCAGGTCTAGAGCAGCACAGCTGTTCGGTGTAATGGCCGGAGCTTAACGGAAGAGGGAGATAGCAATAGCCCTCGGTGCGGTGTCGTCCCCACCAGTCAGTTGAGATGACTTCGAAGAATATTCGAAGAGGAGGAGAATCTATATATTAAGATTGATGATTTTTATTTGAAAGAGATGCGTCTGACCATGTGGTTCATCTGATGGTAGCCCAAGACTGCCATGTAGTGTCGCTGACCGTTCGTTATTACCTTTATACTGTACTTTGTTCGTGTCTGCGTACTATATACTAATGCATAGTCTGTACACATTCTACATTTCCTATAGATGTACCAATATATATTTATAACAATATAATGTTGTAAGTAGTATATCTTAGTTTATTCTATACTCTTCAAAATAATATATTCTTTGAAGTATAGTTTACATTTTTGTAGCTCATTTTGAAAAATAATACAATAAACGTTCCTGGTGGGTTCGATTCCCACACAGTTAGAGAGAGACGACCTCTGCAAATGTGCGGGAAATCGATGGATGCGGGTGGCTCAGGATCGTGTTATTATAGATATTCTGGTGGCTTATGTTCAGAAGCGCAACTGCTTGAAATGATGATGATGATAAATATATAATGTATCGATAAACTTACCCACTCCATCATCCGCTTCTATCTCCAGTTCGATGATCTGTCCGTAACTCCACTGAGGAACTTCCTCGATCATCAGAGCTTTGGCAACGTGCGTTCTGCCGCGTATAGGACTTACGCATTTCACATTCTTCGGTACCTGGTTCATAAATACTTCTAAGCGATTATGTCTGCACGCGCTTCAAGCCAGAGCGAGCTGGCGGTTCACCTGATGTTAAGTGATAACCGCCGCCCATGGACATTTGCAACACCCTTAGGGTTGCAGAGGCATTGTCACCTTTTAATAAAGTTGGCTTAGGTTACGTCACTCGCCAGACGAAACGCAGAAGTATAACACTTCCACTTCTCGCCGGTCTTCTGTGAGGTCGTGGTACTCACCAGGACGGACCTGCCCATTCGTGCAACAGCGAGGACTGTTGCTTGGCCCTACCACAGTTAAAAAAATATAGATATTACATTTAAGTGTCCTGTATTATTATTATTTATCGCTTAGAGAATTTTTTTTATCTCAAAATGCCACTTGTTAAAGCTGTTTGTTGGTTTATCATTTGCTCTTCAATAGCCAGTCATCCTTACCCTCTGTGTAAGTACGAAATAGTAATTAGACAACAATAAAAGAGTGCTTTAGACCACATGACTGAAGAAAACTTCTTTAGCACCATCTATATGTAATCTCTATCTCAATCTATATGAATTTACAATTTTATTCACTTGAAACGTAGGATATTTAATGTATTGTATTAAAAAAATATCAATTTACGAAATTGTTATTCAATTACAAGAACGAAATGAAATTATGAATAGATCAAAAAATCACCGTTCGCGTAACATCACACTTTTCGTAACGCCTATCATACTTTTCGTAACGCTCTTGTCGCGCTTTCACCAGCATACTCCTCAGTAAAGCATGCCTAAGGAAGTTACACTTGGAAAGACCTCTCTCACCCTAATTTCGAACTCGACGTAAACGTCGTCCGCGTCGAAAGCTCTGGCCGTTAGTATCTCGAACGCGACGTATATTTTCGTCCGTCCGGGAGGCGGCACCGCGAACTTCATCAGATCGTTGTGTTTCTTCTCCCATTTCAAGTACAGCTTGTTCAACTGTGTAACATAAATATATAGGGTGTACCATAACAGCCCCGTAGTCTCGGGCTCATAGAATAGGGCTAAGCGATCCCCTGCTTGTCGTATGAGGCGACTAAAAAGGGACATGTATTGGCGGCACTACGAAACAGTCGAGCAACGGCTCTTTAAACATACAGATGGTGAGGGAATTTGGAAGGCTTAGACTTCTCCGACGCGCGCTCACGCGACATCGGTGCGTTCCGTTGGAGATCCCGGAGTCCCTCCAAACGTACAGAGGTGGCCACCGAGGGGGTTTTATTTGGTACAAACTACGAACCCCACATAACCCTGTCATGTAAGGTGCACACTAGAGCAGGTAACAAAAGAGTTGCAATTAACCGTACTCGTATAATTTGTTTCTATTGCACTGTAATCATTTCTTAGCGTCGCCTGGGATTAACTAGGAATGTCGCATTTGCTACTGAAGTTTGATTTTCAATTTTAGCGCAAATCTCTACTTAACATTATAAGTATCATATATAGTACAGAGACTTGAACTAAAATTAATAAAACCGTCCAAGTGCAACATCGTAACATTGTCTATAAAAACGGCAAAAAAATCATGTCCGTTGTATGGAGACCCACTTAAATAGTTTTTATACTGTTTTTTGTTATTTGATATTATAGCGGCAACAGAAATACAACATCTGTGAAAATTTCAACAGTCTAACTATCACGGTTCATGAGATACAGCCCGGTGACAAACGGACACACAGACAGTCAGCGGAGTTGTAGTAATAGGGTCCGGTTTAACCCTTTGGGTGTGGTACCTTAAAAAATAAACATATACTTCCACATTATATTTCCAAATTGGATGATTAACTTGCTCTACTACGACAGCTAATATTCAAACTTACCAAAGACACCAGCTCTTCGTCACTTTCCGATTCAGGCAAAATTATCTCCAAACCGTACTGGTAATTGGACGCGCCGTTTTGTGTGACAACCCTATAAGCGTTCGTCGCAAAGTCATTTACGTCAGGAGTCACGATTAGATAGTTTTGCATTGTGTTGTAATACAAAGACACCATGATGCAATCTTGCTTTACCAGTAGTTGGGAGTCTCTGAAAAATGCATAATTCACTTCATATTATCTCCATGGCATCATAAAAAATACATAATAGTACAGAATTATAAGTATTTGTCAACTTGATATGTATTTGTGTAAAACGACCTTACAACACAGGATAATGTTATCCTACAGTAAGGGCACAATGTTTTCAGGAAGATTACAATATCTTCCTAGGTCAAAGTGGTTGTTAGGACTTACTACGGAACCCCATTCCATTTAAAATACAATGCCCACAGCTGACCAAACTTGTAATCTCTTATGTACGCCATACACGCTACAGTCTACCAGAGAGGTTACCTGTGCAGGTTTGCAAACGCAGCTAACCTCAGCTTATGTGGACCAATTAATGTGACTGTCTACAAATTAATTATTCACAGCTGTAAGCAAGGCGTGAATCAGTATAAAACATGCTCTTAATAAATTAAAGTACATAGTATAAAGCAATTAAACAAGTAATTAATAGACAAACTCACTCGGCATATAAAGAATCATCAAATATAATATGCATAGACATCCATTGCTGCTGTTCTAAAGCAATGTTATCATCACTTCTAAACAAATGATGCATTGAATTCGAAACTCCAAATATCCCACCAATTCTTTCATCAAAACTAAAACTTTTCATTAATCTATGGAAATTGAATGTGCTTTTATTGGAAGCATTACTTTCTTCTTTGCTTTCTGGTAAGGGCAAGTAATAATCTTGATGGATGTAAGTAAAGATTTTTTTTGGCTTATACTCTGTGGTTATTAGCATATTGTGATATGAGTGGTGAACATCACTAATGCAGTTTTGTACTTCTTTGTAATGATCAATTTCCCATGCACTAAATATTTTTTCTTGCCAACAGAAAACATGTTCTTCGGTTCTTGCCCTTTCAATTTTCTCCAAATCAACAGTATCTGATGTGTCTATGAGGTCTTCATATTTTGGTAAATTTGTGATGCTTGCTTGCAAACTAATAGTGATTCTGTAATCATCTGCTGCATTTAATATATATTTTACGGTGTTATGGCCAAGTAACACTGTTGCATGAATGGGCAAGTCTGTATGGGTAAGTACCACAACCTCACAGAACACCGGCCTAAAGTTGTTATAGTTGCGTTCCGTCTCGTGAGTAAGGTAGCCGGGGCCCCGATTTATTAAAGGTGGCAACCATTTGAATCCCTACGGGTGTTGCAAATGTCCATGGGCGGCAGTTATCACTTAACGTCAGGTGAACTGCCAGCTCATTTGCCATTTTCACACATCAAAATATATATATATATATATATATATATATATATATATATGTATATAATTCTGAATAACACATTTTTAAAACTAAAAGTTTGTTAATTTTATCACTGCTTATTTTGAGTTTAAACTATGATGATAAAAAATGAAGACAAACTCATAAATTTCTGAATAAAAATTATAACTTTTAAGCTTAGAGGTGATACACATAAGGATATCAATCATCTCAATCAATTCCAATAATGCTGTAAAGTATTTGATATTTCAAAATCTCAATTAATAATAAAACCTAACAAATTATTAAAATTTTCAATATTCTAACTTCCAACATCCTTATCTTTACAGAAAGATAATGGAGCCTACCTTAAAAAGAGATCCCACTTATACTTTACTTAGTGGAGTAAGTCCTCCTAAAAAACATAAATATTTTCCTTAAGAAATAACGTGTTTGCCACGTTTTAGTTTTTTAATTAATGACCATTGTTGAAGTTGACCCCTCACAAGCTTATAAGTCGGCTGCTAGTGGTAACCCACTCAAGCAACAAAATCTACCTAATTTATTTAAAATTCAAAATTCGTCGTTGGGGAATATGTTGGGAGTTTTTACTTAGACCTACTTTATTTTTAAATCATTAATAGGCTTTTTCAACCAATAAATTCCGAGTGTTTTGTTAGTTCGATCGAATTTATTCATCCTATATTATTAATATCTATAAATAAATTGAAAACAATCAATAAACTTTATCTTTTACCAATATAACGCTACATAATTTTTCAATGACATGTACACTACGCGGATATTTGTTTACTGTTTACGTTTGACATTTGGTTGCTATAGTAACTAAAACGTGTTCATAATAAAGCAAAGTAATTTTAGTTAATCGAGTTATTAAAGAATCTCGCCTTACCATCAAGTAACTTGGGTGTGCCCAAGTAACTTGACGATGAAAGCTTATACATTGTAATTAATGTGTGTATCGCAAGTAATGTTTTACTTGACGATCTAAGCTTACGCATCGCTGTAGGAATCCGTCTGGGGGCACCGATTTGACAACCACACCAATTCCCTTGTTATCATTGAGAAATTTGGTCTCAACGGGCTTTCTTGTCAAAAAAGTGCTGGCCGCTTTTCCCGCCTCGGTTCCCTGAACCTGAAACCATCCGTAGGGCTCTTGTTTCTGTCAATGTTCCATCTATTTTATAGCCCTGTGGCATTTTTCGTAAGAGACTTGATGCCTTGACTTTGATCCCTTGGGAGAGAGGCAAAGCCTTTCTTTGGGATGTTACTTAGTTTTTGTGTAGACTCTTTGGCTGCCTCTCATCTAAGGGTACTTCGGTTAGGTCCGGGGCGGCATCGGACGTAGCTGAAGTAAATAAGGGGCACACATATGAGTTTCTATATTTAGATTATGTATTTGTGTCGATTACTGTGGAAACTTTGGGTCCGTGGGGTCCCCGTACATCGAAATTTTTGAAAGATTTATGTCCTAGGCTTAACGCTGCGGCTGGTGACAAGAGAGCTTCAGCGAGGCATTCAGCGAGGAAATGAAGCTAGCGTTCTTGGCACCATGCCGCGTGGATTTTTGAAGTTATACTTCTTTTGGCGCTTTAGGGAAAAATGATGATGGTAAATTTTTACGATGCGCGCACACACCGTCACGGAAAACTGACACCCTGAAGTTAGCTAGACATCTACATATGTTTGCGTGAAAAACTTTAACTAGTTAATGGGTTATAATAAAACTTTCAATGTATTAAATACCTTTTTTCTATTGTTAGTGTCGTTTTTTCTACAAACGTAGAATAAGGCGAAAGATAATATTTTTGAAAAGATTTTTATCTTGTTACGTTTTATAAAAGAAGTATTCTTCTAACTTCTAACGCGCGTACATAAGTACACACAAACACTTTTTTTATTATATTTAATGTTGTATAAATAGTGTATTATTAAAAAAAAGTTAATCAATTGTTATAATTTATGTTAATGATTTTTAATCCTTTAACAAAAACTATTTTTTTTAAACATGATGTTTGCTTGCGTTCATATAAAATTGTATATTAATGTTCTCCATTACTCTGCTTGTAGTTCTAAAACCTTGTACTTTTTAAATCAGAATCGATTTAAATAATGGTTACAGTGTGAATCGATTCATTCAGTTTATCAATTAGGAACAACCCAACAAACGTCAGTCACTACGGACAACTCAGTTTGTAACGGTACCTTGGCTGAATTGGTTATTCGACGTGGTTATCAAAACATAAACAGGGTTAAACATCATTTCTTTGAAATATTACTGAAAACTTATCTTATCAATTATTTACAATAAATCGATTGTGAATAATCGGCGATAAGTTGAAAGGCAGCCGTGTGACGATGCGCTGAACAGTCAACTTTTAGTGAATGAATTTTTGATTGTTTAACCAGTTCGTAACTAGAAGTTTTTAGTGAAAATGACTTCTCAACAGAGAGAAACTACGGTTTCGGTGCCGCTCACACCGACAAGATCGGATTTATATTGGCGGAGAATATTCAATAAAGTAAGTTATAAACTATTATAGTTATAATATTGAACTTTCTTTTCTTAGTCACGATTACCCTACTTAATACGTTTCTAGCACATGAACTTTTTTAAAAGCTATATATAAAATTAATGTTAATATTTAAAGAAAGTGAATGCACAGCCCATGATCCTTAATCAGATGAAATATACTCAATTAAATGGTCTAGTTGGCTTATTTACTTTGAAAACGCGTCGGATATAAAGAGGCCCCATAACACTTCATTACTTAATTCCTAGTAGTTATAACATCAAGAATAACAAGAATTTGGTTCTATAGTGTCATTACTCACACTATTCAACATAAATTCCGGTTTATATCACTTCCATGTGGAACTTGCAGCATGGGTTAGGTTTTTTAGATGTAACTATTGTCAATACCGTAAAATTCTTGTTGTTAATTAATTTTAATTCATTATTTTTATGATATTTAATACAAAATAAATAGGCAGTGTAAATCATTATTTATTTGTAAGAACGTTTCCATTGTTAGTGCCTAGTTAAAACTCATTTAAATGCTAAATTCCTCTTAAGTCATTCATACAATGTCAGCAGCATCTAATGCTAACTGCAAAACAAATGCTAATTGCTTGGTAATTGCAAAACATCATGCATATTATTTTCTAAGCAGCCAGTAACTACAAAAATAATTAGGTAGTTATTAGTTTTCTATAATGTTAAAATAGAAATTTGTATTTAAAATAAAGAAGTAGCAATTTCTAAGAAGAGAAGTAAGATGAGTGTCTGTAATAAATGGCAAGGGTTGAATACATAAAAGCCGCAAGATATAATTGAGATATCTTTGCAACTGAGTAACTGTCTAAGTGTCACTTCATGGCCGTTATTTCTTGACTATGCGGGTTTATTTCCAATAACTTAAAGGAATTAAATTTGCTTACTGAAACTTAGCAAAAGATACTATTAGAATTACTTGGATATAAAGTTGCCATATAGATCATTGCATTTATTTTTTATTTAATAGACTTCAACTTCAAAGTTAAGTGATGACGTACAATACATATTTTTAAATTCTTATAGTTGAACTGTGAGTGAATGATGTTATGTGATAACCGCCGCCCATTGACATGTGAAACACCTTTAGGGTTCAAAAGCTTTGCCAACTTTTAGTTAAGACTTTTAGATGACTCTGTGGCGCAGCTGCCAAGGTATTCACTTCGGCGTCTGGGGTCGTGGGTTCGATTCCCGCACGGGACAACTATATGTGTGACGCACAGATAGTTCTTTCGCATCTGGGTGTTTGTCCATGTGAAATTTATGTTTGTAAAACGCGATAAAAGTTGTTAACGTGTAAGCAACACGGGATAATGTTATCCTAAAGGGCAACGTTTTTAAAAAAAAACGTTAAGTAGGCTCCAGTTACATCACTCAGCGAACGAAACGCAGTATAAAACATCCACTTCACGCCGTTCTTCTGGGACGTCGTAGTGCTTCCCCAGACAGCAAAAGCGGAGACTGTTCGTAGGTCCTACCACAGTAGTATAAAAACAATAAGCTTTGTTGCAAAAACAGTTCATTTTACGATTTCTCAGCACGTTATTTTTCCGAAGTCAATAAGTTAGTTCGGGGTCGTTGACCTTAACCCTGAAAACCGAAGCTGTACCATATACACACATTGTACTGATACACAGGCAATAAATTGGAACATAGCTTGTGTCACTATTTCTGCTCGCAATCCGACATCTGGCACCGCTCCAAAGCACGGACTGTTTGCAAAAGGCAGGCTGATATATAGTGGAATGTTTAAACAATTACTAAATAACTATTAAAGCACTGTTTTGCCTAGTAAAGTCTAAAAAAGTTTATAATACTCGCTCATTGAAGACATCATGACAGTTAAATGACAACAATTTTTGGCGCGAAACCACAGATAAAGTAGGCGTTAAATTCTTTCCGAAAACTAATCGTCCGTCGCTAAACTGACGTATTATGCACGATACCTATTACGATTTATGTTTTGTCGTTGCAAAAAAAAAACTAGACTGAATAAATAATTAACGACTTTGTATAAAACCGCCTAACTATATCAGGCGCGAGCAATTAATAACTCACACTTTCGGCCTACGTTTGATTTAATAGATTGTTTTACGATCAGTAAAATATGATGGAGGAAAAGAGTGTAAACATTGCGGCTAAGGAGTACTTAGCGTCTGTACACTTTTAAAAGAATATATTTAGTGTTTTTGACAGGCGAATTGATGATTCGGTCGTTGAATCGTCAATTTTGCCACCTAATAACTTTGCTGTAAACAAATCGTGTATTCAAAGAAGATACGTCATGAGGAATATTGTAATTTCCTTCCATTCTTATAAGTTTCATGTATCAGAATACGACGAACCGAGAGACGTATCTGAGTCAATCCTTCTAATAATAACAGGATAAAGTATGGAATAAAAATATTTAACTAAATATTGACACGTGAATTTAACGATGATATAATTATGATTACGAATAAAGTTGATGATTCAAATACAAATGTTTTTACTCCACATAGAAGCACTATTAGATTACACTTATTGATCGTCAAAAGTTAGGTTCGGAATAGAAAAGCCACTGACCGGACAAAACAAACTCAGCGAGATTTCTTTTTTACTTTATTTTACACTATCGACCCGCCCCGGCTTCGCACGGGTGCAATGTATTGCGTATAAACCTTCCTCTTGAACCACCCTATCTACTAAAAGAAACCGAATCAAGATCCGTTGCGTAGTTTTAAAGATCTAAGCATACATAGGGACAGACAGACAGCGGGACGCTTTTGTTTTATACTATGTTGTTATAGTATGACTATATTTTTTACTTTATTATAATATTATTACTCATTCGATTGTCACAATCGTGAAATCGCATGAATCGCAAAATTGCACGCATAATGTATGTACCTGTATAGCTTACGAATATTTGGACGCGAAATTGATACGCTTACCGTCACCCCATATCCGACGTGACTTGGCGATAAGATTCCTTTGCTATCACTGAAAAAAGACCGCGCGTATTGACAAAGTGGACGGTTACAAAATTGCGTTAATCACAATCAAAGAATATGGGCGTTCCACGATCGAGAATTATTATATTACGTATTAAATATTGGAAGAGAGATGCTTGGAGCGTCCATGCTTGACCGAGTTTATTTATTGAAGAGACATTACGGTCTTAAAAATTAACACTCACTTTGGCATAGACAGTATGAGGTTTTGTCGAAAGAATTCCGAAATACGGGATTCAAACACGCTACCTATAGCGTCATTGAACGTTACATACCAATATGCCACTGTTTATATTAAACTGGCGACCCGTCCCGACTTTGCACTGGTGCAATGCATTATACTTATAAACCTTCCTCTTGAATCACTCTATCTAGTAAAAAAAACCAAATCAAGATCCGTTACGTAGTTTTAAAGATCTAAGCGTACATAGGGACAGACAGATCGCGGGACGACTTTGTTTTATACTATGTAGTGATGAAACTAGTTTACGGATTTTATCGCATAACGACTAAGTCTGTCCCGTGACCAAGAACGGAAAGGGTGCGGAACTTCGGGAATTTCAAAAACAAAATGAATCCGCGATAAAATCCGTAAACAAGTTTCATTTAATATTTCTCAAGAAATCAATATCAGACTGTTTGATTGTCACATCTACGCTTTATCCATGTGTTCTATCGATTTGAGTTTATCGAGAAGCTGGATTGTTTTACATTAATAGGCGTCTCACCTGAGTGATTACCGACCCATGAACATGTACAACAACTTGAGGGGTAGCTTTGTCAACCTTTAAACATCCCACTTGCTTAATAACCCCGGCTACCTCACTCGCGACACGAAACTCGAAAATTTAAGACTTCTCTTCACGCCGGTCTTCTGTGAGGTGCGTCAGGAGTAAGCCTGCCTATTCCTGCAACAGTAGAAGGTGTTTAATGGCCTGGTTTAGATCCAATTTAGTTTTATTCCTTTTCATTTTCGATAACGCTAATATCTAATGATAAGCAAAATAATCGCTTTGCTTTTCTTAAAGCGTCCAAACGTATAGTTACATCAGTGTAATCGATAACAGCTAATTAGTCCACTTTTGGATATGACCGCGTGTTTGCATGCAATCGATTATTACTTAGGTCGTGTGGCGAGTGACGCGGTGACTCAGATGATAACGAAAAATCCGCGCCCACCTCGCTTACGTAGCGAGCACCGAAAGAATCTTAAATACGTGAAACGCACACTCCGAAATTCCAAGCATTTGACGTGGCACTTTAGAATAGAGATATTTAGGGACCAACAAATATCGGCAAATAACAAACTGTCATCTTAAAGGTCCCAAGCTGTTTTTATGAAAAAAACCGGCCATGAGCGAGTCGGACTCGACCACAAAGGGTTCCGTATCACTATCTATAATAATCATGTCTGTTGTCACTCCGTTTCTCACTCTCATTCATCACTCTGTTTTTTCAGTATTTGTTGCTATAGCGGCAACAGAAAACATCATCTGTGAAAATTTCAACTGTCTAACTATCACGGTTCATGAGATGCAGCCTGATGACAGTCGGACAGACAGACAGCGTAGTCTTAGTAATATGGTCCCGTTTTACCCTTTCGGTAACCCTAAATATCAGGGAAACGAGCAAACGGGTCACCTGATTTGTATTTTGCGTTGAGGAGGTTGGGTAGCGAGTACCAAAGACCACTGCGATCTAGCAAAACCTATTGCAGTCTTCGCTCCGAAAGCAATGACCCTTACTCTAGGATAACATTGTCCTGTGTTCTAAAAATGTTTTCACATACAAGAATTTCATACCCTGATTGAAAAAACTATCTGTGGATCACAAATAGCTGTCTCGTGTAGACATCGAACCCACTATCCCCCGCGGCAGAAGCCGATACCTTGGCAACTGCGCTACGGAGTAATCAGATGTTAAGTAAGCTAGGTAAGGTAAACCACCTACTGCTGGCATTGAACCCTTAAATAAA